TATCTCATCAAATACATTAACTTCAATTCATCATTTAATAAAAAACCACTCAACATGATCTCAAACTCCTTTACAAATTGTAAATAATCAGCTGGGTTTCCATCGAAACACCGTGGTTCAAATTTAGGGAGTTTGATGTTCCTATTATCCCTGAACGGCGAAACAGTAACATCAACCATGTCATGCTTAACATCAGACACATCGTTACAATTAACAGACAAGTCACAATGACTTACTTTCCTGTTTGCATCCAAGGCACTCTGTCCCTTCTTTGACCCAGGCATTGTTGAACTTGACCCAATTCCAAAAATGTTCCAGATATTGCTTGTTCAAAGAGGACTTGACCGGCACCAGGAAAGATGAACGGTGACTATCCAAACTTTCACCAACTGTTTGAATCCGCCAGATCTGTTTCCATCGTCAGAAACTGTCAATCACGTCTCATAAACCGTTAATGCCCAGCTCTCGCTACGCTCGGGCCCACGCTGTCCTTCGAAGATTTCAGAAACGCTTAGTTATAACGGACGAAAAAACCAAAACACCGATCTGCCGTTTGATATTTCTTTATTGTTACACCAACATATAAAAATAATAATTGAACTAAGGTCTGTGAACAAATATTACAATAATAAATCATTGTATTACTTCTGACGATGTTTCACTCTTCTTTCTGAACAGCGACCGATGAGACGATGACTGTCGTATTGATGCCTCCACGAAAATTGGGGAAGTTGATTTTAAGCAAACAACCAAGAATTGATCGTTCAATCTTCAACTCCATTGACAACTATGTATACCATCCGATGTGGTTTACTACTCAAGCAGATGGGAGGAGTTTGATTTTTTGACTTAATGTCTCTACTGCGGAAGACCTGTATGTAAACGTTAAATCATTGGGTGCAGTGCTCTTACTTCCTACAGGCATATTTATTCTGTTTGGTTTGCGGTTTTTGAAGCATATAATGGAGTCAGACGCTTACTTTGGACAACTGGCATTTTGGATAGAGTTTAAATTCCCTGATATAAAAGAGAGAGCAAAGTGTCCGTGAAGTCCTTTTTAGAATGTTGCAGATTTAAACCGTCTAGTTCTGTATACAATTAACAGTTTATACGAACTAGATTATAATGATACTCTATACAAATACTATAAATGCAAAGACGCGATAACAGTAGCACTCCAGTAGACACTAACTATATCGGACAATTCTAACCGGAAAAAATATTTATTAATGAAAGAATAAGACTAAATATTGAATGTTGGCCATGAGAAACCTATTAAAAAATCGCGTTCAGAGTAAAGCAAGAACTGAGGAAAAACATGCAAAAAATTACAAAAGCTTCGAAATGCCGCGACTATAAATCACACCAGATTCATGAACAAGGCCTGTCAAGCTCCTATTGTTACAAAGACGCTCCACACCGATAAATACTATGTACTTTCTTCGAATTTAACTCCAAAACACCAGTATTGTAAGAGGGTAGTTATATTGTTTGGCAACTAGAGTAGAGAACAGTACGAGTCTATAAACTGATGTTTTATACAAAATTATAAAGTACTTTTATTCGTTTTCGTTCGTCCTCGTCGAACTTGTACACGATCGAACCATTCGCGGATTTGAGTTGTCTACCTATGGCTACCAGTTCCAAAAACAAACGTTCAATGTTCACCCTTATTGACACTCCCCGGCTAAAAGGGTCCATCCTTTTTCAGATAGCGCTGATAACCTTGAACTGAACTGCCAATGCGGGAACCTTGGCCAACCGGGACTAGGCTAAAATGGAAAAGCACGACAAAGAAATCCAACACACAACAGACATAGCAAATCACACCAGCACTCTCTCCCCGGCGTATCGGATCTTCCTCGGTGATCGGCAATTTCCTTCGATCTCTGTCGACAGTATCAAAACTGATCTGGTCCACCGGATGTCGGTGGCTTCATATCACTCTAGTACAATCCCCTCCCCGGCGAATCAAATTGAATAAACTGACTCTAAACTATTCAATCCGTTCACAAGTTAAGAAGACTAGAAACGACTTCAGAAGTACTTACAAAAACATTACAAGATGACTCACAGGATGCGACAACTATAAAGATAAACCAATGGCTAAACGAATCGGAACCCACTCAGTTACTTAACACGAACATATGTACAATCAATACATCAAATGTTGCGGATTCTGCCTTGACGAGCTACCCTTGAAGAACTGTAGGACTTACAGCAGTACACCTACATTCCTTCTCAGGTTGATGATACAGGTGGAAGACGTCCAACAGATAGATGAGAGGTGATACCAATTCAGTATATACAACATGAACATATGTACAAAATAACAATCTTAGCACGTTGGGTTGCTCACCGATGCACTACATTTTGAAGAATTGTAGGACTTACAGCAGTACGCTTACAATCCTCCTCATGTTGACGCCCTAGGTTGGAAAATCGTCGCAGGGTTCATTTGCTGACCTTCTTCTATCATCTATATCCTCAACTCCGAACGATAGCACGCCCACGTCATTGTATCTTGGAATGTAGATGGCTAAAAACATACGAGGTATCTGACCAACCAAGCGTAGAAACAGAGCAATTTACACCAAAGACAATAACATTCAAATAGCAACTTGAAACTTGAAATGCCTTTATTCGTGTAAGACAATTTAACAATCATCCCCTCGTACACACTTGGCTTATTATCATTAAATTGACCAATATCTTTCTTATTTTCACACGGGCTGATACTACCATAATCATTGCAAAGGACACGTGAGTTCATGGACAGCCCTTTGATTGTGGATTACAACACCAACGACGACTGATTGATAGCAGTTGATGAATTTAACGATAGATCAGAAGCTGTAGATTTCGACATTTAGAAGGTTGTCTGGCTGCAAGATATTCACCAATGCTATCTTTTATAATTATCTCCGGTTTAGCAGTAGCATCTGTTGATGGGTGAGCTACACGCTGATCAACTACACTGACGGTCTCACGAGCATCCATACCTTCTGCAATTGCATCTGCGTTTATTTCTACTTCACGTTCAAGCCGTACAGAACCCTTAATCAACTCGGTAGTAGTAGGAATTCCCCTCATCTCATCATGATCAACCAAAGACAAATGTGCACTATCATGATCATTATCACAAATATTCACTCTACCGTCGTCTATCTGGTCAACTTCATCATTTTCAAACTCTTTAATAACAGCGGTAGATGATTTGGGTTCTTGCCCACAAATCCTAAAAGGTTTTATACCTTTACACTGACTAGTAGTGACTTGTAAACTTGTGGAGTTAGAACTAGACTCTGAAACTGTAACTCTCTTCTCCTACACAAACTGTGGTGTCGTTTGTGACAATCTATTCAACAATGGCTTACTGGTTGCAACTGCAGCCTTCTTCACCGCACCACTATCGTCACACGATTCGGAGTCAGAACCTGATGACGCTGACTTCACATTTAGCTTACCAGTAAACTTGGTCACTGCTCCACAGTTCACCTTTGTATGCACTTCTTGCAAACGTGTATAACACAACCGTGTTTGTCTCGCAACTTGTAACATATCTGTTGTGGACGTCCCACGAAAGCTGTCACACTCACTAAGCTTATATGGATTACTAGACACCATAAAGCTTTCTCGATATCCGCTTCTCTGTGGCTCTTTCCTCATATATGAATTTGTGGTTTTTATATCCGAGAAACTTTGGAATAATATTGGCAGACCACCAATCGCAAATACTTCTCAGACTGCTGTCAGCGCCTGTGGTGGGCGGCTCAAACTAATTGGTGGACTCAAATGTTCTGTTTCCTTCCGCAACACCAAGTTCACAGGATTCTGCTACGTCACCAATAGTGATTAAAATATTTTGGGACTTGATTGGTTCGACCGTTTGCATCTGGCTGATGTCCCACTAAATTCGCTATGCAATGCAGTCAAGAAGCATAAAATGTCAGACAATTCCGGACGAAGCCGAAGCCGCAAACCCAACAGGCAGACGAAACGACAGACGTTGACAACAAGCTCAAAGGTTCCAGATAAACCCCAAAGAAAACACGCTACTAATCATCAATCTTATAAAAGGCGAGGTGATATGTATCCATAAAATATGTGTTTGTTTGACAGCCTGTTCTTGGCGATATGTATCCATATAATATGTGTGTTTTGTTTGACAGCCTGTTCTTGGCGATATGTATCCATATAATATGTGTGTTTTGTTTGACAGCCTGTTCTTGGCGATATGTATCCATATAATATGTGTGTTTGTTCGACAGTCTGATATATTTTGCTATGTATATATGGATCGATATTCCATTGTAATTAACCAATCATGTTAAGACTGTCTATTGACTTGTTCATTTTGAATATTCGCTCACACACTTGTTCGGACATTCTTATATTTTGCTCTCACACTGTCAATGGAGTTGAAGATTGAACGATCAATTCTTGGTTGTTTGCTTAAAATCAACTTCCCCAATTTTCGCGGAGGCATCATACGACAGTCATCGTCACATCGGTCGCTGTTCAGAAAGAAGAGTGAAACATCGTCAGAAGTAATACAATGATTTATTATTGTAATATTTGTTCACAGACCTTAGTTCAATTATTATTTTTATATGTTGGTGTAACAATAAAGAAATATCAAACGACAGATCGGTGTTTTGGTTTTTGCGTCCGTTATAACTAAGCGTTTCTGAAATCTTCGAAGAACAGCGTGGGCCCGAGCGTAGCGAGAGCTGGGCATTAACGGTTTATGAGACGTGATATTACGTCAAAGGTTTGGAAGACCTCCGATGATTGCAGGGAAATTATTCGAGGCTGTTAGGGGTAATGGTGGTCAATTACAGGATGACTCCCAGGCACTCACTGAGTTTTTAGATAATTTGCTAATTTACAGGAATGGAATGATTTTGATGAATCGCATGAGTGACCTTAACTCGAGTTTTATACTAGAAGTAATAGCAAGACGTCTACCTACTCGACTGCAAAGGAAGTGGGTGAAGATGAGCTCCCGTATGGAGGATGAGGGTATCGAGCCAAAGTTTGATGATATCCTGAAACTGGTAAATACTAGTGTCAATCAATCTATGAGCAAGTTCGCCAGTATATTGAATCTCACCCCTAGAATAGAGCAGTCTGAGGGTAAAACGCACTCATTGATGACGAGTAGGCCTCAGAGAGGTGGATATCGAGAAGACTCCATGATGTCCGGTAATGCATATAGACCTAGTGAGTGTAACAGGTTTCGTAGTACATCCTCAACAGATAAGTTACAAGATGCAAGACAAGCACGGTTGCCTTTTACACGTGTGCAAGAAGTGCATACAGAAGTGAACTGTGAACCGGTAAGCAAGTTCAGTGATAAGCTAAATGTAAACTCCAGGCATGACTCCGAATTGTGTGACGATAACGGTGCGGTCAGGAAGTCTGTAGTTGCAACCGGTAGGCCATTGTTGAATAGAGTGTCACAGAATAGAGTTACTGCTTCAGAGTGCAGTTCTGACTCCACAAGTTTACAAAGTATAACTAGTCAGAGTGAAGATATAAAACCTTTAATGATTTGTGAGGAGGAACCAAAATTGTCTACTTCTGTTATTAAAGAGTTTGAAAATGATGAAGTTGACGGTAAATTGAATATTTGTGGTAATGATCATGATAGTGCAGATTTGTCTTTGGTTGATCATGATGAGATGAGGGATATGCCTACTACTGCTAAGTTAAATAAAGGTTCTGTAGAACTTGAACGTGAAGTAGAAATAAATGCAGGTGCAGTTGCAGAAGGCATGCGTACTTGTGATACCGTCAGTGTGATTGATCAGCACGTAGCCCACCTATCATCAGATGCCAGTGCTAAACCTGAGCTGATAGTAAAAGACGGCAGTGGTGGTGGTCTTGCAGGTAGACAAATTTCTGAAAGCCGAGCAACAACAGCTTCTGATCCATGGCTAACTTCATCAACTGATATCAATCAGTCGTCGTTGGTGTTGTCATCCACAATGAGAAGGACGCCCATCAACTCAAGTATCTTGTCCAATGACTATGATAGTATCAGTTCGTTTGAAAGGACGAATATCAATGGTCAGTTTAGTGAGGATAAGCCAAGTGTGAACGGGTGAGTAATTGTTAAGTTGACTTGCACGAATAAAGGCATTTCTAGTTTCAAGTTACTAATTGAATGCTATTATCTTTGGTGTAAATTACTCTGTTTCTATACTTGGTTGATGAGATATGTCGTGTGTTTGTTGATCATCTATATTCTACGATACAATGACATGGGCGTGTTGCCGTTCAGATTTGAGGATATAGCTCATAGAAGGAAGTTAGCAAATGAACTCTGCGACGATTTTCCAACCTAGAGCGTCAACCTGAGAAGGGTTGTAGGCGTACTGGTGTAAGTCCTGCAATTCTTCAAAGGAATTCCACCAAGACATGATCGGCGAGGTTGTTTGTACTATTTGTATATACGTGTGGTGTGTCATAGCAATTGGTGTATTTTGGATTCATTGTGTTTACTCGTTGTTTTCGTATCTTGTTGTTATTGCGTAATTTTGTTAAAATTTTCGTCGTGATTACTTCTGAAGTTGTTTCGAGTCTTCTACATCCATGAATGAATTGATTGATGTTAAGGACAGCAGATGGGTCGTATACGCCGGGGAGGCTAGGCTATTGCTGAGAATGAAATGCACACGGAGATAAGTGTTAGCTGTGGTCCTACACGCCGGGGAGAAAGAGTGTAAACGACTGAGGCGCGCATGCGTCACCGCTACTAGGACTGAGGCAGAATGAGTGACAAGCGTTTGCAGTGGTAATTGGTAGTGAGTAGATAAGACGATGTGCGTAGAGTAACATGAGTTGGTGCTATGGTCACGTTGCATTCTGCAAGAGTCATTCTAGCAAGGGGCGATTGTGTTGCAAGATGTCAAGAGGAGGTCTCCGTCTGGAGGCGCAGGTCGTCAGCGATGTGTGAGATTGTGCTGTGGGTATGCTTGTGGTGTGTTGGCTTTTCTGTTTGTTTTCCATTTCAGCTCTGTCCGTGTGACCCAGGTTCTCGCAATGGCATCCAAGTCAACGTGCATTGGTCGTGAAGGAAAAAAGGGTTGGATCCCTTTTTTGCCGGGGTGTGTCAATGGAGTTGAAGATTGAACGATCAATTCTTGGTTGTTTGCTTAAAATCAACTTCCCCAATTTTCGCGGAGGCATCATACGACAGTCATCGTCTCATCGGTCGCTGTTTAGAAAGAAGAGTGAAACATCGTCAGAAGTAATACAATGATTTATTATTGTAATATTTGTTCACAGACCTTAGTTCAATTATTATTTTTATATGTTGGTGTAACAATAAAGAAATATCAAACGGCAGATCGGTGTTTTGGTTTTTTCGTCCGTTATAACTAAGCGTTTCTGAAATCTTCGAAGAACAGCGTGGGCCCGAGCGTAGCGAGAGCTGGGCATTAACGGTTTATGAGACGTGATTGACACACACACTTCTGTGACAAATTGATTCTCCTTATGTTTGGAAAATAGAAGTATCATCGCTAACCTAGTGGTCTTCTGATTTCCGTCTTTCTTGCGTCGGGACTATTAATTTCTTGACGAATACATAACAATTCGAAAAATAGATAAGGTCATGTTAAGTTGTTTTACTGCATCAAATATTGCCGAGTTCTATTCCAGAATTCTCTATTTGCGCTATTTTTATCTGTACGGCGGAGTGCATTCGTAAGTTGAGTCAAATGTTGAAAACTGCTTGAAAACCAGTTGCTCCTTCATTTCAGATCATGAATACTCATTAACAGCATGTTCGCCAGCGTCTTCAAATGGTAGAATTGGATCGTTCATGGAGTTTGAGTGGTTTGGAATTAATCTTCATTTCAGTCTAGATGCAGGGTTGTTCGACCTCGACCAGAAGATAAATAGGAGCAGCAGAATATCAGAAAGAGAAATTATGTGAACATGAAAACGACATTAGTGTTTTAAGCATGTATAAATGTTTATGTCAACTGTATATTATACTTTAGTAAACATTTACCTATATTGTAGTTATGTTTTCACGTATTTATGCGAAGTCTTAGAGTTTATTTAGTGTCATAATGTGTATTAATGAGTCTGAGCGTTTTGGTATTCTAATGACTGATGTGTTTTACAAATAAGTGATGGGTTCTGGTAGGGATAGTCATTGGGATAAAAGTTTATATAGCAAGCGTTTTAAGGTTACAATAGAGTGACACGTCCTATTTCTAAGGGTAAACTAATCCTGTATGTTCTGTACTAAGTCTTTTTTTGCATCTATGCGACTAGTTTATTTATAGTTTTTAGATTGCTAAGGGTGTTGAAGTGCGTCTTTTAGGTGCCTTAGTAGATTAGTAGTTGATTCGTTCTAGGAGTGAACAGTTTATTAATATAATCAGTAGAGTGAAACAGTCTGTACAGAGAACGTTTGAAGCTTGTAACTGAAGAGCAAGTTCTGAAATGTAGGGGCAGGCTATTCCATATTTTAGAATACATGACTGTGAAGAAGTTTTCACGGAGTGTTGACTGAAAAGAATGAGTTGTCACTGTGGAAGTTTGGTTACGCTGATGGTAAGAACCTTCCTGTGTGAATTGTATGTCCCTGTTTCCTGAGAATGATATTTTGTGAAGGACCTTAAAGAAGAATATTAGGTTTATAATAAGTCGCCTTGTCCAAAGTGGGTCAAGTTTTAGGATCATGCATCGTGAGATGTAGTCTTTCTTACAATCGTAGTCAAGTAGTTTTGAGGTAAAATATCGGTGGATACTTTCCATTCTTAGCTTATCACGTGTGCGAGTGCTGCTTATAATAAATGGACAGTATTCTAGTAGTGGTCTGACACATGTTTTGTACAGAATTATCTTGGCTTCATTGTCGTGAAAGTTCCTGAGTATGCATCCTAAGAGCATCCTCGATTTTCTAGTCTGTAATGCTACTTGCTCAGAGAACGTCAAGTCACTAGAGTACCTCAGGCCTAGGTCAACGACACTTCGGAGTCTTGTCAGGTTAGCAGATTGAAGCGTTAATTTCAGGTCAATTGAGTGTACGCCGAAGCAGATCCAGCCACATTTGTTTAGATTAAATTGGAGATGTCATAAGGACGACCAAGCAGTCATTTTGTCTAATTCCTTCTTCACCTCATTTTCGAAGTACCCTAGATCCTCACATTGGAATGTATAAGCTACTTTTAGGTCATCTGCAAAGATGAATGGTTTCCCGTGTGAGAAGCAAGCGCATATGTCATTGATGTATAGTGTAAATAGGAGGGGTCCAATGACACTACCCTGTACTACACCAGATGTGATATGGCTAGGTTTGGAGGTTGCAGACCCGTTGCAGACCCATAGCACGCAATATCTAAACGACCAACTACTCACGAGTGACATTTCACAACCCATCCCTAACTATCAAATTAAAGAAACCGTCTCTAGTGATCAAAATGTTGTAATTAATGAATCCAATAACGACTGCACATATTCAGTTGATAACCATAGAGTATTTTATTATGATATTGCCCATACACTAAAACCACTTCGTCAAAGTCTATCCGTCATCCTCATAAATGCTAGATCAGTTCTTAACAAACATTTAGCATTATGTACGTTAGCCTCTATATGCAATCCGTCGCTGATCATGATCACTGAAGCCTGGTGCTCAAGTGACATTGTGGATGGTAGCTTATCAATTGATAAGTACAATCTTTTTCGAGGGGATAGGGAAACAGGTCGTGGGGGTGGAACACTCATATACGTTAAACAACCCATTTGTGCAACGCATTTTAGTCACCCTATTCTGTCACAACTTAATGATTCGGTGTGGGTCGAAATAAAAGTTCTCAGAAGTAAACCTATCCTTATAGGGTGCGTATACCGACCGCCATCATCCAACCGCGAATACGATAACGTACTCAGCAACATATTTAGTGTTGCATCCAATCTCCCCTTCAGTTATAATATAATTGGAGGTGACTTCAATTTGCCTGATATATCATGGCGTACACTTCGTGGACCCTCGAGGTATGATAATCTTCTTAATTCCATCATTACTGGAGGATGGACGCAACACATAAATGTACCCACTAGGTCCAATAACATTCTTGATCTTATATTCACGATCAACGTAGCACCATCTACAATTCATGTGGGACATGAATTCCCAGGTAGCGATCATAAAATAGTTGCATGTTCGTTTAACATTTCCCCAGAAACTATACACAGAAACGAAGTTAGTCGGACACCTATAAGACCATACACGCGGGTTGATTGGGACTTGTATCAGGACTTGATTAGATACTCTAATTGGGATTCCTACTTTACCAATGACTCCTTAGAGGAAGTCCTTAAAAACTTCTATGACAATATACAGTCGGTTAATGATGTCATAGCGCCTGTGAAACTGATTAAATTCAAAATCCCTCAAGGTGATTTTATTCCAATATCATTAAGAAGAAGTTTGCGGAAGCATTCATTAAGTTACTATAGACATGACGACTTATCGTCGTTAATCGCTATCAAAACAATCCTCATTAGAATCCATGAGTTAAAAAATCTAAGTCTTAGGAATAAAGAAACGCGGGCAATTCAGTCGCCACATAACACTGGAGAAATAGCCAAACTCTTCAAAAGTAGGTTAACTAACTCCAAATCAACATATCCAAAAATAATACACCTAGGTGGCATTACTCACGAAAGTGCTGAGGATATATGTGAGGTGTTTAGCACGCACTTTGCCAAACTGTACACTCTAGAAAATGACCAGGATATAGATTTCCCTCGTAAAACAGAAAAGTGTCTAAGCGATGTAGTCTTAAACGCCCAAGAAATCGATAAAGCTATCACAACTCTTAAGCTTACTAATACTCCCGGCCCAGATGGAATGTCTTCCGTCCTCTTAAAAAATGGTGGAAATGACATGAATCTACTTCTTCTCAAGATATTTTCAACTTCGATAAGGAGTGGAACATATCCAAATAGCTGGAAGAAATCCTACGTTGTACCCATTCACAAAACCGGACCTACAGCGGACATAGATAATTACCGCCCCATCAACATTACTTCCGTAGTTTCACGTGTGATGGAAAAGATTGTAAAGAAGCAAATTGTTCAG